CTCCTATGATTTTTCTTCTTTTTTATTTCCCTAATAATGTTCAACAGAGCAAAGACATTTTCACATTTTCACAGTATGTCTGATCATATTTTTTTCTTCTGGAGAAAGTCTGATTTGTTTTATTTTGGCTAGAATAAAAGCAGTTTTAAATTTATTATGAACCATTTTAGGGTCAAAATTGTTAGCCCCTTTAAGTTAACTTTGTTTTTTCGACTGTCTACAGAACAAACCATCATCATACAATAACTTGCCTAATTACCCTAACCTAGTTAACCTAATTAATCTAGTGAAGCCTTTAAATGTCACTTTAGGATGTATAGAAATGTCTTGAAAAATATCTAGTCAAATATTATTTACTGTCATCTTGGCAAAGATAAAATAAATCAGTTATTAGAGATGAGTTATTAAAACTATTATGTTTAGAAATGTGTAGAAAAAATCTGCTTTCCGTTAAAAGGAAATTGGGGAAAAAAATAAACAGTGGGTGGAATTTTTCAGAGGGGCTAATAATTCTGACTTTTTATTAACTATATATGGTCACCTTGGAATTATAAGGTTCTATCTGACATATTTGTCAAAATTAAGTTATTCACATATTCTTATTAAATGACAACTTATATACATTATGGCATATTTTTTATGACTTTTTATATAAAAAAAAAATTACACACACACTGTTTGTTGTGTTATTTTAAGTGTGATTTCAAGATTTAAAATATATGCGAAATATGGGAAAACATCTTTGTGAGATAAAGCAAAACATCTTAGCAAGGCAACGCAAAAAAACAAAAAACGACTTAAAACTCAACTGTTTAGTCTCCACTTACCTTACTAATCTGCAATTCCCTCTCTGACCCCTCCACTAACTACATTAATTATAAAATAAATAAATAAATAAAAATTACTACTGTTTTGCTTCTTACACTTTCTTTGCATCTTACACTTTCGTATTGCATACGAATAAGTGCCTATAGCACTTATTCATTGTTGCTCTTATAGTTGTGTAAACTGCTTCCTTGTCCTCATTTGTAAGTCGCTTTGGATAAAAGCGTCTGCTAATTGACTAAATATAAATGTAATGTAAATGCAAAAACTTAAAAATATATATATTTTCCTATCACTCAGTTTTTTTTTTCTCCCACCCAGTTTTTTCCCGACCATCACGTCCCTTCCGGGTCTTCATAAATTACAAATCTATAAAATCAACAAAATTGAATTAGACCCATTGAATAATGGAGCTACAGAATAAAACGTACAAAATTTATTGTAATGCAAGTGTGTATGGATGTTTCCCAGAACTGAGTTGCAGCTGGAAGGGCATCGGCTGTGTAAAACATTTGCTGGATAAGTTAGCGGTTCATTTCGCTGTGGCGCCTATGATGAATAAAGGGACTAAGCCTAAGAAAATGAATGAATGAATAAATGAATATTGTAAGGCTTACAAAAAGAAAAACACTGTAAACAAACGTTGTTCATATTTATACCAAACATTAAGCATAAATTAGAGATTCTCTAAAGCCAAACTGTCTCAGCTAATGTTGGAAGCACTTGTTGCCAGAACTGAAGTTTGCGCTTGTGTTTTTATTTTCTCTCCCAGGTCGCTTGATCTTTGATAACCTGAAGAAGTCCATCGCCTACACGCTGACCAGCAACATCCCTGAGATCACTCCATTCCTGTTCTTCATCCTGGTCAACATTCCTCTTCCTCTGGGCACCATCACCATCCTCTGCATTGACCTGGGCACTGACATGGTGAGACACAAACACACGTCTAATGGTTTTTGTTTACAATCATCCACTGCTATAATTAGGGATGCACAAGGTTGAAGCTAATGGGCGTCACAAGGTCACTGGTTCGAGTTCCAACTGGGCCAGTTGCCATTTCTGTGTGGAGTTTGCATGTTCTCCCCGTGTTCGTGTGGGTTTCCTCCGGGTGCTCCAGTTTTTCCCAAGGACATGCGCTATGAGTGAATTGAACTCACTAAATTGGTCGTAGTGTATGAATGTGAGAGAGTATGGGTGTTTTCCAGTACTAGGTTTATGGCTGAAAGGACATCCGCTATGTAAAAAACATATGCTAGAATAGTTGATGGTTCATTCCGCTGTGGCGACCCCAGATAAATAAAGAACTACGCTGAAGGAATGAATGAAATATACTCATGTACATGTGGACATGGCCTCAGACTGCTGTCCTGATCTTACCGATAGCACTCCTCCTGGTGGACAATAAAGTTATTGCAGATGCATAATCAACACATTAATCAGCAATTTACAACAGCATTATTATCCATTTCCAATTGTTTACATTTCAAGCCATCATCTACCGACTTACGAAGTGTTCCGATAAAATTTCCCATCCCTAGTTACAATTGCAGTGTCCCCACACTCACCTGTTTCCTCACATTAACCAATCAATGGCTGTCGTTGCAGGTCCCTGCGATCTCATTGGCTTATGAAGCAGCAGAGAGTGACATCATGAAGCGTCAGCCCCGTAACCCTCTCCGGGACAAGCTGGTGAACGAGCGTCTCATCAGCATTGCTTACGGACAGATCGGTCAGTGAGCTGATGCATTAGATACAAACACTAACACATAGCATTAACTAACGCTACTAGCATAATAAACTAATAATTAGCTGCTCATTAATAACTAGTAAGGTAAGTTGGGTTTGATAAGGGATGCAGAAAGAGATATACTTTATAACTAGATATACTTATATAGATAATATAGATATACTTTATAACTACTCATGAACAGTTAATATACTTATTGGGAATGTAATGGATCACGGTTGATTCGTACGGATCACAACCCACGGTTCGTAACACACGTGGCCCGCGGACTAATACATTTTTTTTTACTTGTAGATTAATCCTAAATTCGTAACGATCGCAGAAAGATCGCTTCCTGCATGATTCAAATCACATGTATGAAAGCATTTAGGCTTTCCTGTAAAATATAATGATGACGGAAGTAGTTGTGGTGGGTTTCTTAGTTTTTTTTTTTTTTTTAAGATTTATTTTTGGCCTTTTTGCCTTTATTATTAGATAGGACAGTATTGAGACAGGAAGCGAAGAGGGAGAGAGAGAGAGAGGGTAGGGTAATGTCGTCGAGCCGGGATTCGAACTCGCAACGTGCTATTGCATCATATGTCGTCGCGCTAACCACTAGGCTATTGCGCCGACAGGGTTTCATAGTTTATTACAGGTGTTTTCTGTCACTACTTGTTTAGCCTGCATTATTGCATTCAGTGTAAGCTGCACAATTTATCATTAAAAGTTTGGGATCTCAACACTTACACAACATGAATGATAAATGATGGGGATTTCAAGAAAGAGATTCAGTCTTGAGTCTTTTGAGTTGGTTATGAAGTTACAAACAGCCAAATAACACAGCAGCACTGGGAAACAGGTTATAGTTTAGATAAAACCACTGATGTTTATAGCAAAGATTAAAATCATCGTCATATGCATTTAATGATGCTTAAAACCAGGGCCGGAGTGGGACTCCTTTTCAGCCCTGGAGTTTCAAGCCTCAGACCGGCCCACCTCAGTTCACGACTGACTATATTGAAATAAGGTCATTTTCAATTCATTTTCTATTTAAACTATCATGTCTTTTTTGAGAAAACAGCTGCTTTAGAACTTCAAATGTTCAACAACCCTAACAGTATTTTATGTCTTAACAATAAAAATGAAAAAAAAAAACAATTACTCTGACGAGGATCAAAACCGGGTCGGTGGTGTCAAAACCTAACATGCTAACCACTCGACCACAACAGTTACATGATAATCACCCTGCAGGCTGCATGTTGATCACGAGGCTGCGAGAAAATAGCTAAAAAAGAGCAGAGCTGCGGTAAAATATTGAATAAGAAGACTGTGGTCAAGTAAATAAATGAATTAATTTAAAGTGACTACTGTAAGCCACAGATTCTGGAGCTAGGGACACCGGCCCTTGTGGCCAAAAAACGGACCGGCCCACCGTGAATTCTCCCGGTCCTCCTGATTAGCCAATCCGGGCCTGCTTAAAACTGAAAGTTGTAGGCAGCAATTACATTATTTAACTAATAGGAGGCAACCAGCCATCAGAAATATGCCACTGAATAATTCTTCAAAAAGTATCATCTAGCAATGAAACATGAAGCTTTATGAGTAATTAACTCAATCATTTATTAAAATTGAGACTAAAAATAAAAGTTGTACAAGTTATGTTAGTTTTCTACATTTAGCATTATCAGCAACGCTAACGTAGTAATAGTGAACTTTTCACAGTACTGAATATTTTACAATTTATTTTTATTCAATTGATTATTTCTTAATTTTTATATTTTAATAAAATGACAGGCTCTAAGTTCTGTTTGTTTAAACCAAAAGTGTCTCTATTACGCCCTAAGTCTAGGGGAAAACAACATGGGCATAATAAACGGAAAAAACTATTGTGTTGGGGCGGTGGATTTCCCAAACAAAAAAAAAACTTAATCCAAAAGATCCCCTTCAGTTGACAACTAAACTCGGAAACTCAGTTAAGAGTAATTTATTAGATCTATCTAGAAAAGTAGTCATTTTAAATGAGCATCTCTTCAGGTGGCCACAGGCCAAAATAACAAACAGAAGAATCTAAAAAATAAATTAACTAAATTACCTATAAATATTTAAAGAAAAATACAGGAAGCTTACCTTTCTCCCTAAACATAAACATAGTCAAAAGTAATCAAATAAATAGGCAGGCCACCCCTACAAGCTCAAACTCTCCAAAAGAAGTTGAACTTATGAACAATGGTAACAAGACTGAATGTTGGTCATCGGCCGGAGGGGTAAGGGAAATCCAGGAGCTCCACTCCTAGCAACTGTCACAGCACAAATGAGCTCCCCGAACCCTGTCAGAAGCTCCTTTTTATACAGGCCTCCCAGACCAGCAGCCAATCAGAGCATGGATCACGCCGAAATGGAAAGCTATGGGATAACAAAAAACAACAAGAAGGCAAGACACAGAAAAAGACGCATGCAATACGCAATAAAAAGTTAATAAATAAACTTTAGTCGGAACAGTCTCGCAGTACTGTTTTTGTAAAAAATGACCAAATGACATTTGTCTCCTTCCCTTTTTGGCTGATCTGAAAAATGGTTCAATCCGTGTCTATAAAAAGCATAATGTAATCCGAACCGTCAGATTTGTGATCCGTCACACCACTAATACTTATAATTGGCAGGTAATAAGTTAAACTAAAGTGTTAGCAAACAAACTGATGATGTAAAAGAAAAGCTGGTTTGTTGAGCTGAAATGAAGCCAATAAATGTGACTTTCCATTAAATATGCAGGTATGATTCAGGCGCTGGGAGGATTCTTCAGTTATTTCGTGATTCTGGCTGAGAATGGTTTTCTGCCCAGTGTGCTGGTGGGCATTCGGCTGAACTGGGACGATCGCTCCAACAATGACCTGGAGGACAGTTACGGACAGCAATGGGTAAACATTACATCACATTTCATCTTTGATAGACAAGGATATGCATTTGGCGTTGGTTTTTCAATAGCAGATCGCATTGCATTTAGTTTATATTTAAATGCATTCATTTAGCAGGTGCTTTTATTTAAAGTGACTTCGCTAACTGTGTACTGTGATATGAGCCAACAGTTTCATTTAATTTTCATTCGGCACAGGCACTAATGTTGGGTTACTTTGGAGAAAAACATTTAATTGGGATAATTTTTTATTTATTATTATTAGTATAGTAGATGTTATTAATTAATAATTAAGTAGTTTTATGTTTTTCCAGGATTTTGTGAGTTATGGAGATGTTAAAGGAAATATTGTATAAGATTTTTTTACTATAATATGAGCCAACAACATTTTCATTTAATTTTCATTTGAAACGCGCTAATGTTTGGTAACTTTGGAGAAACATTTCATTCTCTTATTTTTAATTATTATTATTATTAGTAGGAGTAGTGGTAGTAGTAGTAGTAATTATTAAATACTGAATTAGTAATTAAGTAGTTATTCGGCTTTTCCAGGATTTTGCTAGTTATTGAGATGAAAAAACACATATTGTACAATACAAGAGATAATGTTTGGTTACTTTGAAGAAACACATTTAATTGTCATTATTATTGATAATAATAATAATTATTATTATTAGTAGTAGTATTAATGTTATTATTATTATTAGTAGTAGTAGTTGTGATTATTTAATACTGAATTTGTAAATAGCTAGTTATTCAGTTTTTCCAGGATTTTGCGAGTTATTCGGATAAAAACAGAAATATTTTAGTTTTAATTTTATTTATTTTTTCTTATTTAAGATTTTTGTTTATTTTCACAACAATTGAAGCAAATCATTTCAGAAGTTTTTAGAGAACCTGTCACAAAATCATTTTAGGCCACAAATATAAAATAATGTCCCTGCAAAATCCTTTTTTTTATTATTTTTTAAATAATAATAATAATTATTATTATTATTATATAAATAATACAAATTAGGAAGTCACTGTAAAGCTAATGTACTGAAAATTGTAGTAATACAATTTATTATTATTATTATTATTATATAAATAAATAATACAAACTAGTTCATCACTGTAATGCTAATGAACTGGAAACTGTAATAATATCATTTTTTATTATCAATTATTTTTAATTACATTTTAAACACAAAATCAGTCATTTTAGACCGCATTTATAAAATATGCCTGCAAAATCCTGGAAAGACTGGTTGGTATTATTATTATTATTATATTGATAAGAAGAATTACTGTAATGCTAATAAACTGGAAACTGTAATAATATTATCTTTAAATTATACTTTATTTTTAATTACAATAATATTAAAAATGTCCCTGCAAAATCCTGGAGGAACTGGTTATTATTATTTTTATTATTATCATATTTTTTTAAATAATACAATTTTTAAAAATCGCTTTGAAGGTAACGGGATAGTAAATATAAACACATTATAAACACATAAATACAAACTAAATAATAGGCATGTTATTACGCATTTTACCGATTATAAAAAAAAATCCACATTTGGCAATTGGAGAGTGTAATTCTCTTGTGAATTTCCTCACAAATAAAACTGTAGAACAGAGCACATTTGAATATTTTACACAGTCAAAGCACAACTGCTCTTATAAATGCTTCTGCATTCGTTCAAAATGTACATTAGTTTACTAGTTTACACTGCTCAATGTGAATGTGCAGCATGTAGTAATCTACAATGTGTTTCTCTCAGACGTACGAGCAGAGGAAGATCGTGGAGTTCACCTGTCACACAGCTTTCTTCGTCAGTATTGTGGTCGTACAGTGGGCCGACGTCATCATCTGCAAGACTCGCCGCAACTCTGTGTTCCAGCAGGGCATGAAGTGAGTATCGCTCATCAAATCCCAATTAAACTAGTGCTGTCAATACATAAAAAGAATTATTCGATTATACACACATTTCGGTGAAATAAATCATGATTAATTGCAATTAACACCACCTAACATTAAAGTCTGCATGAAGTCAAAATTCACAAAGTTCATTTTGCTAGTGCACATTGTTAGTCTTAGGGGAACCTAGTTGTAAACATCTCAACTTTTCAGAATCCCGCCAGCGCACCCCAAGTCATGTGACTAGAACTAACCAATCAGCGTCATAGTTTGTATTGAATGTACACATTTCAGTAATAACAGTAGACTAATCACTTCAGACATATGCAGAGCACCCAAACACTCCAAACCACTGTAGCTGAGCTGATGATTGTTTCTGCTTGCTCTTGACAGGAATAAGATCCTGATCTTCGGGCTGTTTGAGGAGACGGCTCTAGCTGCATTCCTCTCCTACTGTCCCGGGATGGACGTGGCGCTCAGGATGTACCCTCTCAAGTGAGTGTGATGTACAAAAAGAAAATGACATCATCAAAAATGAACTGAATTAATACAAATTTTTCTTTTTTTTCTTTCTTTTCTCAGGCCCAGTTGGTGGTTCTGCGCGTTCCCTTACAGCTTCTTAATTTTTGTTTATGATGAGATCCGAAAACTTATCCTGCGCCGAAACCCAGGAGGTACAGAACCTGAATTACTCTCATACTGAGAGATAGAACTGAGTAATATTGATAGAAAAAAAAAAAAAAAAATATATATATATATATATATATATATATATATATATATATATATATATATATATATATATATATATAGTTGAAGTCAGAATTATTAACCCCCCTGAATTATTAGCCCCTTTGTTTATTTATTTATTTTTTCTGTTTATTGGAGAGCAGATTTGTTCAACACATTTCTTAACATAATAATTTTAATAGCTCATCTCTGATAACTGATTTATTTTATCTTTGCCATGATGATAGTAAATAATATTTGATTAGATATTTTTCAAGACACTTCTATACAGCTTAAAGTGACATTTAAAGGCTTAACTAGGTTAATCAGGTTAACTAGGCAGGTTAGGGTGTTAAGGCAAGTTATTGTATAACAATGGTTTGTTTTGTAGACTATCGAAAAAATATAGCTTAAAGGGGCTAATAATTTTGACCTTAAAATGGTTTTAAAAATATTTAAAACTGATTTGTTCCTGTCAAAATAAAACAAATAAGGCTTTCTCTAGAGGAAAAAATATTATCGGACATACTTTGAAAATTTCCTTGCTCTGTTGAACATTATTTAGGAAATACTTAAAAGGGGGTTTAAAAATTCTGATTTTAACTGTATATATATATATAAATAGGCTTTTGATAAAATGTTATATATATATATATTTCAGTATTTACAGTATGACATCATTTTGACCACATTAAAATACAGGAAAACATTAACATTATTTTAAAAATTGTATAAGCAAATGAATCAATGTATCTGAGATTTGAATCAATTCTTTAAAGCTGACAATTTCAACTAATTATAGAAATCAAATTCATATCAATCATATACACTTGAAGACACAATTATTATGTTAATTATAATATAAATAAATTGTATATTATTTTTATTCTAGCCAAAATGAAAGATAACAGATTTCTAAAGAAGATAAAATATAATAGGAAACACTGTGAAAAATTTCCACATCACTTAGTAAATGTTTGAAAAATAATTACAATTTTACATGAGGGCTAATAAATTCGTCTTCAACTGTAAGGCCCTGTTCACACTAATACATTTTAGCTTTAAAACGCATAAGTTCTGCTACGATTACGCCCACACTACTCCAGAGTTTTTGAGCCCTAAAACGGAGGATTTTGAAAACACTGTAGAGGCCGTTTTCATTTTCTGTCGATTGGGGAAAACAGAGACATCTTAAAACAGAGGCTTGGCTGCCGACATTTGTGCAGACTGATTGGGGCTTTTTCTCATTATCAAGTAGGCAACACAAAGTTCAGACTTACATCCTTTCCTTGTAAGATCGGACTTCGCAAGTCAAAAACGAACTCCCTTGGATGTGAGGACACGTCGGGTAAATCTTCAAAAGTAACTGCAGTGAAGTTTTATAATGTCATTTACATCACCCTGGCTACATTCACTTAACAATAAAATGAATACAAGACTTAAAGCAATGTCTTTTTTAATTTTCATATTAAATATACTTAAATTAAAAATAAACTAATAATAGACACCAAAAATGTTAAGGCATCATGTTCATATTTAAATGACCGTCATGTTCACTCTGCAAATTTATAACAAAATAATAACTGCCTCCTTGAAACATTAGACTCGCTGTGTGGTTTGGGCTTGTTGTCAGGCGATATGCACACTATAAAGATATAGAATAGCAAAACTTTTGCTGAATATAATAATCAGTAAACTATAATGTTAATAATCAATACTAATTATAAAAGAAAAAAGTACAATATTTTTATAATACAAGAAATAAAGGCAAACAATCGGTCAGATGTTGCGAAATCAGTGTACGTGGTAATATTAATAGGTATATTAACTTATCTTTCCGCTCAGCCAAAACATGTTACCTGAGATTAAGTAGGCTAATAGATTCAAAAGACTGACTCTTAAATATAGGTCTACCACACAAGATGAATTAAACATCGCATTTAACAACTACAGAAACATGAGGTCCAGCAGCAGATTCGGGATGGACTGGCCGATGTTGGGCTGTTATCAGTCGAGCAGGTGTGCTCAGAGCTCCTACTGACTGCCTTGAGCTTAGACGCAAGAATATGTTGAAGCAGCTTTTAGCGCATGCCAGAGTGCATGTATGGTCACGTGATGTATGTTTTCAGCAGTGTAGTGTGGACAGAGAGCTTTTCCCAAACGCTAGGTGAAACGCCAGTGTGCATGTAGATCGTTTTCTTTCTAAAACGCCATTTTATAACTAAAAGGTATTGGCCTAAGTGGTGCAAACAATAATATTCAAAATGCCGCTTATATGATTATTCTGTTAATATTTAATCCCCTTACAACAATCAAATGTTAATATTTACGTTGTTTTGCTATATTGTAATGATTTCCTCTCTTTGTCTTTCTCTCTGTTTCACCTCAGGTTGGGTTGAAAAGGAGACGTACTACTGAATTGTCAAATACTTCACTCATCGATTCTCCCTCACTCTCTCTTTCTCTCTCTCTTCTCTCTTTCTTATTCACGTTCTCCCCATTCCTACCGAAAACCAATACAGAAACAACCATGTTACAAATCCACCTCCTTCCTTCCCTCCCTTTACCCAATTAAAAAATAACGCAGACCAACAACAACAGACCAACACAACAAACCTCCTGTTATTGTTTTTTTTTTTTTTTTGTACGTGTGTGTATGTGTGTGTTTTTCTCCAGCTGAATCTGCCAGAAACACATCGGTAAGGTTTACCGATACTCTCAAAACACACTGTTAGGTTGTGCGAACGCACAGCTTTTGCTAATGGATGTCACGCATCGCGCAGAGACTCCTAAACAAACACTGCCACGCCAGATTACTGTTACACATCGCTCTCCAGACACAAAATACTAATCGTATAGAGGAAACAAACAGTGTTGTATTTATTAATCATTCATAATGATGTTCTTTTATGTTCGAAGTGTGTCTGAGAGCTGCTTGATTTCGTTTTTTGCTCAGACTTGACAAAAGCACACTGCCACCCTCTCTCGCTCGCTCGCTGTTATAAATGAAGTTGCTGCCTTACATTTTTAAGTTCCGTCAGTTAGTTTAACTTAACGCTACATTAAACTGACTTAAAACAGAAAGTTGAAGTCTGCATGAACCGAAAGTTCCACGGACTTTTATTTCAGTATGATTATGTGCTTCTTACTGAAACGGAATATTGAGTAGGGGGCGGAGCTTTAGCTTTGCGCATCATTCCATTGGGCAAACTAACAATAAGAGGCGTGTGGTCAAACTGACATCATCAGAGAAGAACTGCCATTCATAACACGGAAGCAAATGCTCAGAATTCGATTGAAGATTACCAAAACAAACTTCATGTGAATTAACATAAATAGAATAATTTTTCTTCTAAATGAATAAACAATAGGAGGGGCGTGGCCAAACTGACATCATCAGAGAAGAACCGCTATTCCAAACACGGAAGCAAATGCTTAGAATTTGATTGAAGATTACTAAAAACAAACTTTCTACTTCAAAAAATGAACATACGCAGATTAATTGCTCTCTTAAAGAATAACAATGTGTGCTGGGCGAATAAACAGTCAAATTTGATTTCATGCACACTTTAAATCTTAAAAAAATCAAGTTGAAGCAAATTTAACTGATTTTATTAAGTTCAAATGAGTATTTCAAAAGTTCTGGAGACTTTTATTATTGTATGTTGATGCAGTTCTAACTGAAACTGAATATTGAGTAGGGGCGAAGCTTTCATTTTGCGCATCATTCCTTCGTACATACAAACAATGAGAGGGGCGTGGACAAACTGACATCATCAGAAAAAAAACGCCACTCCAAACACAGAAGCAAATGCTCAGAATTTGATTGAAGATTACCAAAGCAAACTTTTTATTTCAATAAATGAACATACACGGATTAAGTATTGCGATGTGTTGTGGACAAATTAACAGTAAAATTTGATTTCACTCAGACTTTAAATCTTTAAAAAATTAAGTTGGCGCATATTGAACTCATTTTATTAAGTATTTGTAACATAATGATTGCTAAAGCTGATTTGATTCAACTTAAATTTTTCAGGCAGCAACTCATTTCTTACAGAGCTCTTCCTTACTCTTTCTCCTTCTATCTTTGTCTTCTATCTCTCGCTCTCCGTCCCCTTTTATCCTGCACTTCCCTCCTCTTTCTTCTGTCCGTCCGTCTGTCCGTCCCCGTCTGTTTGTCTGTTTGTGAACGATGTGAAGACACTCCTCCTCCCTCTTCTATCCGGACCCCGTTTCCCCTGTTACAACTACAAAAAAAGAAAAAAGAAAAGAAATTACAATCTTTCTGTGTCCTAGGAAAAAGAGATTTCACTCTGATTTCATTGTTTAAATAAGTGCAGAGAAAATCAAAACATGGAGTAAAAGCAATGTACCAATACGTGAAACAAACAGCAAAAAAATTCAATAAAAAAAGAAGGATCTCTCTTTTCTCAGCTTGGCGTCACTTTGTTTTTGTGTCTGCTTACTGCTTTGAAATCTGATAAAGTGTTATATTCATTTGAAGACACTTAAACTTTCATCAGGCTGGAAAATGAACACTTTTAATAATTTTATATTAATATATATATATATATATATATATATATATATATATATATATATATATATATATATTTATGTATTCAACTGCTTGTTAACGCAAATTTCTAATCAGCCAATCACATAACAGCAACTCAAAGCATTTAGGCAAGTAAGGTGATTTAAGTGACTTTAAACATGACATGGTTGTCGGTGCCAGACGACCTGGTCTGAGTATTTCAGAAACTGCTGATCTACTGGGATTTTCACGCACAACCATCTCTAGGATTTACAGAGAATGGTCCGAAAAAGAAAAAAAATATCCAGTGAGTGGCAGTTCTGTGGGTGCAAATGCCTTGTTGATGCCAGAAGACAGAGGAGAATGGTCAGAATGGTTCCAGCTGATAGAAAGACAACAGTAACTCAAATAACCACTCACTACAACCGAGGTCTGCAGAAGAACAACTCTGAATGCACAACACGTCCAACCTTGAGGCGGATGGGCTACAGCAGCAGAAGATCACACCGGGTGCTACTCCTGTCAGCTAATAACAGGAAACTGAGGCAACAATTCACACAGGCTCACTAAAATTGGTCAATAGAAGATTGAAAAAACGTTGCCTGGTCTGATGAGTCTCGATTTCTCCTGTGACATTCAGATGGTCGGTTCAGAATTTGGCATCAACAACATGAAAGCATGGATACATCCTGCCTTGTATCAACGGTTCAGGCTGCTGGTGGTGGTGTAATGGTGTGGGGGATATTTTCTTGGCACACTTTGTGCCCATTAGTACCAATTGAGCATTGTGTCAATGCCACAGCCTACCTGAGTATTGTTGCTGACCATGTCCATCCCTTTATGACCACAGTCTACCATCTTATGATTTTTTTTTAACATGACAATGAGTTCACTGTACTTAAGTGGCCTCCACAGTCACCAGATCTCAATCCAATAGAGCACCTTCGTGATGTGGAACGTGAGATTTGCGTCATAGATGTGCAGCCGACAAATCTGCAGCAACTGTGTGATGCTAATATATCAATAAGGAGCAAAATCTGTGATGAATATTTCCAGTATCTTGTTAAATCTATGCCACAAAGGATTAAGGCAAAAGGGAGTTCAACCCGATACTAGTAAGGTGTACCTAATGAAGTGGCCGGTGAGTGTATATTATTACAGTGGAGTTGCATATCTTTCATAATGCATCCAATTGTCTTTTCAGTTCATAAATCAAATTATTTTTTACAATTTAAAAAAATGAAAACTATCAAGATTTACATAACTGTGGTCATGATATTTGTTAAAAATACCACAAATTTATATTTTTATGCAATATGCTAAGGTAAAATTATCAACAGCACGAAAATATTTATTTTGTTTCAATTTGATCCCAATTAAAAATTGAAAATTTGGCATGTTATTAACAGGCTTTGTGAACATGGGGCATGAAGTATTTTTATTCATTTTGACAATTACTATTGTTATAAAAGTTATTATATTATATTATTCTTGATGTTTTAACTATGTTTTATATTATTTTATTGGGTAAACATTTTAAACAAAAACAAATTTTTTCTGCTCAGTCGCTTTATTAATCTGAGGTCACCGCAGTGGAATGAACCACCAAATTATCCAGCATATGTTTTACACAGCGGATGCCCTTCCATCTGCAACCCATCACTGGGAAACTCCCATACACTCTCATTCACACACATACAGAGACATTTAGCTTACTCAATTCACCTGTACCACATGTATGTGGACAGTAAGTGAAAACAGAGCACCTGAGGAAACCCACGGCAACACTGGGAGAACACGCAAACTCCACACAGAAATGTCAACTGGCCCAGCCGAGGTTCAAACCAGCAACCTTTATGCCTTGATGGACAGTGCTACCTACTGCGCAATATATTGCATTTTTATAGTCCTGACGTGTTTTAACTACATTTTAGATTATTTTATAGGGTAAACATTTGACCCCAGGTTTTATTTTATTTTATTTTATTTTATTTTATTTTATTTTATTTTATTTTATTTTATTTTATTTTATTTTGATCCCAGGCATCTTCTTGACAGCCTTTCTGAATATATGGAGATGAAAAATTTGAATTTATTTGACACCAGATTTTATTTTATTTTATTTTATTTTATTTTATTTTATTTTATTTTATTTTATTTTATTTTATTTTATTTTGATCCCAGGCATCTTCTTGACAGCCTTTCTGAATATATGGAGATGAAAAATTTGAATTTATTTGACACCAGATTTTATTTTTATCTTATTTTCAATATAATTTTTAAAATTTTTATTATTATTATTTTTTTTTAGTTTTTTATTGTTTGAAAATTTGATGTCTTTGACAGACTTTGTGAATAAATGTAGATGAAAAAATATGAAATCATTTTGACAATTAATATTGCCATAAAGGGCGATGCAGTGGTGCAGCAGGTAGTGCTGTTGCCTCACAGCAAGAAGGTTGCTGGTTCAAGCCTCGGCTGGGTCAGTTGGTGTTTCTGTGTGGAGTTTGCATGTTCTCCCTGCGTTCGCGTGGGTTTCCTTCATGTTTCCCCCACAGTCCAAAGACATGCGGTATAGGTAAATTGGGTAGGCTAAATTGTCCGTAGTGTACGAGTGTGTGTGGATATTTTCCAGAGATGGGTTGCAGCTGGAAGGGCATCCGCTACGTAAAACATGTGTTGGATAAGTTGGTGGTTCATTCTGCTGTGGCGACCCCAGATTAATAAAGGGACTAAGCCGAAAAGAAAATGAGTGAATGAATGATGTTATATATTTTCTATTATTTTATGGGGTAAACATTTGACCCAGGTTTGATCTTGACAGTCTTGACAGTTAATTGTTGTCAGATCATAAAAACATCACAAGTGTCCACTGGATTACCATGAGCAGCGGAAGAACTTTTACCTCTGTAATGGTTTTTTCTCTGAACTCCGCCAGTCTGTTAATGGCTTCACTGTCATTAATTCACACTCGCAGCTTTATAACCTTCTTTCTCGCTGCTTTTACGAGTCCACCGCTCTGACATTTATAGAGGTGACATTCTCCCAAAATAATATCAGCAAGCATAATCATATGAAACATCCCACCTGAAATCACTCGCTAATATTTTAGCAGCATTCGTCATTCTGAGGAAGCCGTTTTTCAATATCGCTTCGAAACTGAAGCTGCTCGTAAATTACATTTGAGGGGGAAAGAACTAACTAAATAAATAAATAAAATAAAATTGCTTTTTTTTGCCAGATGTATTACCTAGAGGTGTGGGTCACCCCGATTAAAGAGTGTCTGCACACACAGATACAGAACAAGGGCCTTTATATTTATGCTATAAAAATTTTTTTGACGAGACCAAATATTGGATTTTTTTGATCAGATATGTGTTTGAGTAAAATCTAAAATGTTATTGTTTGCTTTATGTTAGTTAAACTCTGTTTTAATTGATAATTATTAGTAATAACTAGATGTTCAAATTTGAATTACATGCTAATTTATGTTAGAATTATGCTAACAACATGCTTTGAAGCATACTAGCAAAATGCTAATTCATGCTAGAATCATGATAATTTCGAGCTAATTCCTACTAGAATCATGCTAACAGGGTGGCGCGATGGCCTCACAGCAAAATGGTTGCTGGTTTGAGTCTCAACTAAGTTGCATTTCTGTGAGGAGTTTGCATGTTCTCCTCGTGTTGGCGTGGGATTCCTCCAGGTGCTCCCGTTTCCCCCACAAGTCCAAAGACATGCGCTATAGGTGAATTGGGTAAGCTAATTTGGCCAAAGTGTATGTGTGTGAATGAGAGTGTGTGGGTGTTTCCCAGTGATTGGTTGCAGCTGGAGGGGCATCCGCTGTGTAAAACATATGCTGGATAAGTTGGCGGTTTTTTGATGACCCCTGATAAATAAAGAGACTAAGCTTAAGGGAAATTAATGAATGAAAGTTCCCAAATATTTAGACATGCTAACACAACACAATACAAACATTTTACACTTTTACATACAGTAGAAGTCAGAATTATTAGCCCGCTTTGATTTATTTTTACTTTTTTAAATATTTCTCAAATGATGTTTAACAGAGCAAAGACATTTTCACAGTATGTCTGATAATATTTTTTCTTCTGGAGAAAGTCTTATTTGTTTAATTTCGGTTGGAATAAAAGCAGTTTTTATTTTTTTATAAACCATTTTAAGGTCAAATTTATTAACCCCTTTAAGCAAATTTATTTCTGATTGTCTGCAGAACAAACTATCGTTATGCAAATACTTGGCTAATTACCCTAACCGGCCTACCTAATTAACCTAGTTAAGTCTTTAAATGTCACTTTAAGCTGTATAGAAGTGTCCTGAAAAATATCTAGTACAATATTATTAACTATCATCATGGCAAAGATAAAAATAAATCAGTTATTAGGAATGAGTTATTAAAAATTATTCAGAGATAATTCCTTGGATTTACTAAAAATTTTCACGTGAAATGGCTGTAAACAATTTATTTGGGCTGAATTTAAACAAACAGATCAAGTTTAATTTTATTCAATTTTATTTGTTTGTTTAAATTCAACACAAATTATTTGTTTGCAACAGTTTCGCAGACATCATTTTTTTTTCAGTGTATTATGTACAGAAATTTGTTGAAAATAATCTTCTCTCTATTAAACAGAAATTGGGGGGGAAATAAACAGGGGGGCTAATAATTCTGACTTCAACTGCATGATAATATAACCCTGATTTCCAATCACAACAAATGAGACACTCTTTTAATCGATCAAATCTACCATTTTACTGAAACCCACTCCTAACAAATTCAGTGCAAACCGAGAATTGTCAAGCGCTCTCTTATTTTTTTCCATAGCTCTATCTATCTATCTA